GCATCTAGAGCGTTTATATGTTATATCCTTAGATTGGCCTCTGGGAATTTAGTAGTAGGGGATGTCTTTAGGTTGGACAGTTGGATGGATTGGATGAACCAATAAGACATTTAATTGGTTAGGTTAAATGATCCAAATTATTTATTAGGTTATATTGGACCTGGTCCATCCGTAATGGATTTATATTCGATTGAATTGGATTGAGCCAATATCTAACCTGTTGATAGAAAATAAGAATATAGGTATCAATGGACCAAGTTTGGGTTAGAACCAATTTCAACAAATTAAATAATCCAAACATCAAATTGGACCAATTCAAAATAGTTCAAAGTATTCATCGGATTGGATTCAACCTAATCCATTTATAATAGATTGATAGTGGACCAGATCAGGTTGGACCAAATCAAAATCCAATTTGCACCCCTATTTAGTAGCAACTGGGGGCAGTGTGGTTTCTCAGGCCTGGCTTGGTTGAAGCTCTCAGTTGCGGAGTTACATCATAGTAGAATCAGGCTCTCAAGACCTCATCTTATCCTTAAGGCATAAACTCCTCTTATCCTGGTTCGGGTAGTGAGGTCTGGCTTATCATTCACAGCCTTCGATGTATTATGTATTGTTGTGGCTCCATCTTGAATTGGATGAAGTGGCATCAGGATGGGGCCACAGTAATGTGTAAAGGCTGTGATTTTACGGTTTTAGACCAGGGCTACTTCAGCGGGTGTAACCGATTTTTCCTCTCTTTTCTTCATCCTATTTGTGTTTATGCTCATATATGAGCCATGGTTTTCAAAACCTGACGGTTACGTTTTACCCTAGAATTACTTTTTGGCCAAAAACCGATCAACGAACCGTTAATTCGGGTGTTCGAACCGTTCAACGGTTTTTTGTTATTTTTCATTTTTTGGTCAGAACTAATCACTCATTCAATTCGAACGGTTGAACTGTTCAACCTGAGAACCAAACCCTTAAACAGTTGTGATGAGGGCAGATTTTTCCCTCCAATGACATTGTGACACATGGCACCTCAGAACAACTAAATGACACCCGGAACCACTCAGGCAACAACTTGCCAAGTTAATGGTGTTCAGCCTGGCGGCCTGGCACAGGCGCGACCTGGCGGTCTGGCACATGCGCCGACCTGGCGACTTGCAAGATGTGTTCGCCGACGAATTCGGCATGCATATCCAAACACTCCCACGATCCTTGGAAGTTGGCCCATGTGCCGAACGATCTGGAGGGTGGTCAACGTGCATGGCGGTTACCTCCAGGAATCTCGGACCAGTTAGACACAACCTCCTAGAGATCTCGGGGGCGGTACATGAGCAAGGCCTATATAAAGGCACTAACCCCAATGACAAAGGGGTAAGTGAGCAAGCAAGCAAGTAAGCAAATTCTAGCTCTCATACTGTGTGATTTTTAGCTCGCAGTTTACTATGAGAGTATTGACTTAAGCATCGGAGCGACCTCGCCGGGTTAGTCACCCCAGGTCCTCTGACATTTGGCTCCATGAAGGTCGCTAAAAAGCAACGAAGCTCATCAATTCAGCTCGCCACCTAGTCAACCCAGCACCTCACAAGCAGCTCGGCATCTGGTCAACCCAGCACCTCACAGGCAGCCCGACACCTCCTAGGCAGCTCGGCACCTGGTCAACCCAGCACCTCACAAGCAACCCGACACCTTCCAGGCAGCTCGGCACCTGGTCAACCCAGCACCTCACAGGCAACTCGGCACTTGGTCAGCCTAACACCTCATAGGCAGCCCGACACCTCCCAGGCAACTTGCCACCTAATCAACTCGGAACTTTATAGGCAGCTCGGCACTATAGTCAGCTCGCCACCTAGCCTACCCAGCTCGACTCAGCTCAACAGCCAAAGTTCACTTCGGCCCGAATCATCGGCCACTTGGAAGCAGACCAAATAACGAAGTACTTAGCTAAAAAATCGAACATAAAACCTGACATGTATTAAAAATATCTCCCATAAATAACAAGAAAGATATTCCCAATGCATGCCTGTAGGCTCAATTTGAAAGGAGTACAAATACAAATATATAGAACATAAAACCTTACATTTTATATGCATTTATACTATACATATTTGTATCTGTGCTCGTTTCAAACTGAGCTGTAATGTCCTTTGAGTATGGATGTGAAAACAGTTTGTGCCTTTGTGGATAGCACTGTAGGAGATCCGAGGCTGTAGATGTGACAGTTGTTTATGCCTCATGGGACTACTGAAATTTAGAAGTTATCAAACACTATGGTCCATCTCAGCTATTTTTCTTACATATTGCAGCCTGGTAGATGGAATGTAACTTCATGCCACCCTTCTGGTAAGAGATCGGATTTTTCTTCACAAAAATGTTCCTCACACCCACCGCACATCCTTACAGCTGCACATCGGAAACATCTCTGTACTTGGATGCTTATATTCATGGAGATATGTTCTCAATGCTCTGCTACAAGGGCCCCACACCCAAAATGAAAGCTCCCCCCTTGTACAGGCAGATATTGTACTTGTGTGGAACCCAACCCGGCCCAATAAGTGATGTCACATTCTCTCCAAAAGTTGCTTTCGGAATCTTCAACACAATTCCAATGATATAATTGGAAATATCTGTGTTAAATATACAATATTTTGAATTTTTGATGCATGGTCCCATTTGAAAATTAAAATAGAAGTTAGGTCTATCAATGGGCCGGGCAGACCTGACAGAACTGAATAACCCAATTATATAGAGCTTGAGTTTGCATTACCTGATCCAATTATAATTTGGTTGGATTGGTTTCGGTTGCTCCAAACTGATCAAGACATATTTTTCTCGTGATATATTTCTATTATAATCATATAATATGATATTATTGATACCCAATTATTGTAAACTTAAAATTAGTAGGTTTATTGTCAAAAGAAATGTTGGTTTAATGGTCCATAACATTTTACACTGTTTTGGGCTTGGGCCTTCTGGCCAAGCCCATTTAAATTTAGACAAGATCCCAATCGGTCCCACTCAAATTGCACCCCTACCAATTATACTGAGTGGATTTCTTTCTTGTCTTCAAGAAGTGGAAAATCTCATGAGAAATCAAAACACCATCTGCAATTGTACGGCCATGAATGAATGCATTTTGAAAGTTGTCAACAAGTAAATGCATGCATGGTTTGAATCGATTAACTATGCATTTAGCTAAGGTTTTTATAAATGGTATTAGTTAAACTAATTGGTCTGAAAGTCATTCATGGATGAAGGGGAGTGTGTATTCATGGTTTGAATCGATTAACTATGCATTTATGTTATATGTTTAAAAAAATTCAATTAAAAAATTGGTATGATGTTAATCCACATTGCCCTTTTTAGAACTATGAAGTAACCATCATTGCAATATATGTTGGGCTCATACTGTAACTTAGGGGTGTTCTCAATTTGATTTAGTTCACTTTAAAATAAGGGTAAATTTTTTAAACTATCCTTATGGTTTAGTTAATTAACTAATTATATTTTTACTATTTAAAAATTGACTGATGCTACCCTTACTGTTTCTGAAATTGATTAACTCTACCCTTTGGAGTTCAGATGCTATCGCACCCATCAACTATAAACAACAGATCAGATGCTGTTTAGGCATACTAATCGACCACCAGTAAAAAACAACTATTTTCAACTATTCTCTCTCCAATAGTTTCTACTCTACCCACCCATCGCTGGGTGGAGTTATAGGGTAGTGTCGTAGCAACTGTTGTGGAACTGCTATGGCTCCTATAGGAGCGAGACCTGAAGAAATGGAGACTCCGTCGCTAATGTCATAATATTCACTGGACACAGACCGCTTTCTATTCTTTTTCGTCATGTCACCATCGGAAGCCAAAGACGTGGTTGGACTCTTAAGTATGCCACCGACAGACATGGCGATGGTGGGCACAGTACTGGTACCTGTAGCAGGTATGATGGTGGGTTCAGTGTGTTTGAGGAGCCACCGAATGGTCTCACCGTCGGACTTGTGACCAAGTTCTCTTGTGAGCTGAAAGATTCTCGCTGTGTAGGTTGCAGACATCCAGATCCTATGCCCCCGACCTTCAACTTTGGTATGCCAGTCCTTCGTAGAAGCCCTTCTCCTAGTAACCATAGAGGGAAGAGAGAGGTCAGAGGAGAAAGGGTGTGTCGAGTCAAGAGGAAGGGGATAAGGGTAGCATTAGGTTTTAAAAAATTTTAAATGTCACATGGTGTCACGTGTTTATGGATTTTGATAGAATATTAACGGATGCTAATGGTAAAGATAGAGTTAATCAATTATTTCTTAAAAATAACATTAGTCAATTTTCAAAATGTAAGAATAAACTTAGTCAATTAACTAAACGATAAAGGTAGTTTAAGAAAATTACCCTTAAAATAAATCTTACATGAATCAAATTGAACCGAATTGAACTCAAATAGGTTCAACTCGATTTTAAATTGATTAATTTGGATAATTGAAATACACATATATGTTAAATGTATAGTTAAAATATATAAACATTTATAAAATAAAATAAATATAATATAATAATATTAACATATATTTAATATTAATCTATATATTTATGATAAAAACATTTATTTTGGTTAATTCGAGTTTCAGTTTGAGTTTGGTTTTTAAATTATCAAACCAAACCAAAACAACAACTATATTCGATTTGGTTTTTGGTTCTGTAACCCCTGTAAATGTAGCCAGATTCAGGCATCTCGTATGTATTGCTCAACTGATTGATTACTAATGAAGTAATGATATATTTCTATGAGCGGAAAAAAAATCAATTAATTGTAACCCGATTCAATCTGACATGACCCCGTGAACAACTATGCTTTTAATCCCAATAAAATAAATATAATCTCCACCGACACCCGTTGGCTCCGCTTGTTAAAATGCGCATTATGCAATCCCACTCACACAAACCTACAGGCTACAGCTACATCCTGCAAGTTATGCAAGCTAGAAAACCCGGTCGTGGTGGGATTCGATCCCAAGTCTCCGCTATAACTAGTTAGACAGCTGCTAAGTAGTGTTAACCGGCATCCTTCAAAGCTTTTATGCTCTCCTGGCAGGCTGGCACGCGCTTCATTCAATTCCCCTGTTCCCATTCCTAGTGCTTCTCTCTCTATTTACCATATAAAGAGAGAGAGAGAGAGAGTAACTGGATCAAATAAAAAAAAGCTAGTATTTTGATAACTGTGAGAGTTTATGTCAGGATTCGGGATTCTAATGGTTGTAGACAGCTCCTACGCTTTGTGAGAGAGAGAGAGAGTGTGTGCGTGTGTGTCTGCATTTGTCGGAAAAAAACATAGATCTAGATCCGGCTGCGAGGAGCTCTAGATCCCGAATACGGTTTCTTTGATTCTCGGTCTCAGGTAGCTTCCAAGTTCTAACCAGTTCTTGCATTGATGCCGCCTTCTTATTTGACCGATCCATTTGATGTCTTGCTCAAAAATTTTAGATTGTTTAAGCATGCTTTTTCTCGAGACTTCACTGTGACTTCTGTCTGGATTTTTACGGAATTGGTATTGTGTTGCATTCCCTCCACTTCCTTTTAATTGGATTAGAATGACTTATCAGTAAAAGCATCGATCTATTTTACTGGTTTGTGCTGCTTTCAGTTTCCATTTAATGTTATTTTTTTTTCTAGGAACTATGTTGTTCTGGCTTGATTTTCTTAGTTTTAGCTTTCATTCCTTTTCTCCGAACTTTGATCTGGTTTACACATGCCGAAATTGATTTTGTTACTATGACTCAGCTCTAATTTGTGGTGCACTGTTTTGGATCTGACGCAATTGAATTTTATCAAGTTCTATATAAACGCAATGCGATTATTGTCATCAATTATCTCATACTTTAAATTCCTATCCTGTATTTGCTTTTTTGAACTTCCGGGCTGTTCTTCCGAAATTTATATTACAATTTCCTCATTAATATCTTCTGCACTGTTAATTTTACGCGTAATTTCGTTTTTATCTGATATTCATATTATTTGATTCTCATGTTTCCTGTCTTGTATCCATGTAAAATTTGGAAAATCTCCATGTGTTTTATCGACTAGAAAGTTGATCTAATACTAATTATTGCCTTTTCTTTTGTTCACCTCTTTTTGTCAGTGCAAAGTCTTGTGAAAGATCATTTTTTTTTTTTAATCCAGTAGCCATGTCAAGGAGGCCAGTGAACCCCTCTAGGCGCATTGCAGACAATGGCAGTGCTCCATTTGCAAACTCATTGCATCAGAAATCACGCTCTTCACCCCTACTATCGGTTGGGTTGGTCGTTGTGGTATTTCTCATTTTCTAATCAAACTCCTTCCCTTTATTGTAAGATCATTCTTTAGAGTCTCTTATAGATTATTGACTTCTTCATAGCGTCACAGCAAAGTAACACTACACTTTCTCATTGTTTGCCTTTTTATTAACTGTTACTGCCCACAATGAAAAGAATTCACATACTGACTAAGCTCAGAAGATCAAATCTTGATAACATTTGTTTTGAAATTTCAGGGTGCACTCCTTCTTATTGGATATTCTTATAGTCACTCAGGTTTGTATTATGCTTTGCATATCCCTTGTTCAAAAAATTTTATAAGATGAACTTTGATATACTGTGTTCCATTGGCAAATGATGGGAAAGTTTTATGTCCCATAAAACACTGTTGTTGGTTGTCTTTTTACTATGTTTGAGAACATGATTTCTTCTTTCTTATTTTTAGCAGTTCTATTATTTGTTTCTGCCATGCATTTGATAAACTTTTGAAGTTTTATCACCGCAGGTGGATTTGGTGGCAATATAGAAGCTGTTAGTAAGATGGAAGGTATCTGTCCTTACTTTTTTCCTTTTCTTTTCTCTTCTTCTTTTTTCCTTTACCTTTTTCCCTATCATGGGTGTTCATGCATTTAGTAAATTTCACGTTCTTTATTTGATAACCACTCCTTATTTGTTTCTTGATTGATCCCTGGTGGTTACTGGTTAATGATGTGGTCACTGACTGAACATCCTTTTCTTTTCATTGAATAATCTGTTTGACACATCTTTTTCTAGATTTTCACCAACAATTTGAGAATGCTTTTTGTTTATTAGCATATCAGGAGACCTTTGATTTCCAACTTGCCATCTTTTTCCTTTCACTGTGGTACTGTTGTTATCATTCTCTCTTTATCAGTTGAATCATTTGCATTGGAAAAACTTCTACATTATAACATCCTTGATAGTTCCATTTCCCACCTAGTGAGCTTGTATGCTATATATATCTTAGATGAGGCCATCGTCACTACAAGTTTTTGGCATTGAACTACAACCTGATCCTTGTTCAAAATCATGAAATTTCAAAACCTTTTGAAAACTTCTTAGAAATACTAGAAGTTCCAAGCATGACAATCAAAACTATGAAATACTAAATATTTAGAAATTGCACTAAATGGAAACAAAAAATTTAAAGCTTTGCAATTACATTGAGAGTTAAAATATGACACCACCCCTTCCTCCATTTGCCTTTACAAGGCAGGGGCTCGAGGATTCTGCCTTGACCTTTTTGGTGGGCTATGACCAGTGCTCACTATTAAGCTTGTTTTTGTTCATCCTTCCAATTCCAGTAGAAAATATAGTTGATGCAAAAATATAGACTACATAATCAGTTATCTTAGCTCATGCTTAACACTCTTTAAAAAGAGAAGCAAAATGTTTTGCAAAACAGTGAGCAGAAGGTTGATTGTACAATCAAAATCAATGACTAATATTGATTTACCACGTAACACTTTTAATAGAACTTTCTGTTTGTTCTTCCTAGAAATGTGAATTTCCGCTTCTCATTTTATATCCTGAAGAAGCCTCTCCATAAACTGCAATTGGCTTCCCTTTGACCCCTTAGAATTGTCCAAAGCTGTACTGTTTTCTGATAAATTTACAAAAGAGTGAACAATTTATTTAGTAGATGATCTAATAGATGTACTATTATGTTCTTATATAGTGAGAATATTAACATATTTCATGGAAAAAATAAAATTCAGGATCTGCAGCTTGGATTACGTGGGGATTTCTGTATAAACTAAATTTTGTTCATGTTAACTGTTTGTGGTTAGATAAAAAAGTAAGGTATTCAATTCCATATGTACATGGACAAAGTTGAATGCCTCTATGGGACACCCCCCTTTTCTTTGTACTTGTTTTTGTGGTTATCCTAGAGTCAGCTGAAAATGTTTATCTATGCCTATATTTGTAGGTGACTACTCGTGCACGTCAGAGGTCCAGAGAGCCATACCTATGCTGAGTAAAGCATATGGTGACAGCATGCATAAAGTTTTGCATGTAGGCCCTGATACTTGTTCTGTAATCTCTAAATTGTTAAAAGAAGAGGATACTGAAGCCTGGGGTGTGGAACCATATGACTTAGAAGATCCTGACAGTACCTGCAAGAGTCTTGTGCGGAAGGGCATTGTGCGTGTGGCTGATATCAAGTTTTCCCTCCCCTACAGGGCAAAATCCTTTTCTCTTGTTATTGTATCAGATGCACTGGATTACTTGTCTCCGAGGTACCTTAACAAGACTCTTCCAGATCTGGCAAGGATGGCTGTGGACGGTCTTGTTATTTTTGCTGGTAATTTTCCTGAATACATTTATGTCACCTCACTTGCTGTAAAAAACTCAGAATGATGTATGCTGCATTAAAATGAACTTCTAAAACTGATGAATAATTCTCAGAAAACACTAATTGTTATGAACCTTTTCACCATTTTCTAGTGCCACTTGCACTTTGATAAATGAATATATAATTTCACTGTCCTTGTAGTGGATTTTTTTAAGTGAGATGACTGACCAAAGTGTTTTTCTTTGTCTTATCATCAAAGCGAGCAAAGTAAAGCTTGCTAATATGAATAAACTTTATCTTGTTAACAAGCAAAGAGAAAAAGGAAAAGAACATCTTCTGGTTGTTTGTTATTGTTGTTTCCTTGTCTGCCTATTTCTTTTAATTGTCCCAGAATAATTAGTTGATTTGTGCATGTCAAGCTATAAAGAACCATCTTCTTATATCTAAAAATGGGCATGGATGGATTAAAATGTTTTTGATTCCTAGGAACTTCCTAGAAAAAGATGGAACTCATTGTGTATGCATTCAAATATGGTAGAGAATCAAGTGGAGAAATGGGATAGATATTGCAAAACTGTTGCTCAAGAACGCATGGAGTGCAGTGCCCTCCTATGAGGACTTATGAGAGGCTCTCTTTGTTCTTGTCCTGTTCTACTTGATTAGACTTAGCATTTCTATTAGTTATTTTATTGTTTTCATCCAAGAAATAATAGAAAAATAAGAGGAGGAGAGGAGAAGAGAAAAAAGTGTTTAGGGAGCCAAAAGAATAGGCTGGTGGCGCCCTTTCTTCTATTTACAATAGGGTGACAAAAATAAAAAGGATGAATTACAATAATGCCCCTGGTGGCACATTAATAAAAAACAAATAAAAGAGAATGTTGACAATACAAAAGCAACAAGTAAATGATAGCATACTAATAGTAAACTAACAACACTCCCCCTTAAGTTGGTTGTATATGTCAATCATGCCCAACTTGTCACATAGTTCGTTGTGCCGCAAACATAGAAGTCCTTTTGTGAGAACATCAGCAAGTTGCTCCTTGGTGTTAAACATTTGAAGTACAGATTTCACCCTTTTCAAGCTTTTCTCTGATGAAGTGCTTGTCTACCTCAATGTGCTTTGTCCTATCATGAAGGACAGAGTTAGTCGCAATGCTTATGACTGCCTTATTAACACAATAAAGGGACATAGGGATGTCAACATTAAACTTAAGCTTCCCTAACAGATTCTTCAACCAAAGTACTTCAGCCACCCCATGCGCCATAGCCCTATACTCAATCTCGGCACTCTTAACCTTGCAACCACACTTTGTTTCTTACTTCTCCATGTCACCAAATTTTCACCCACAAAATTATAGTACCTACTAGTGGATTTTCTATCATCCACAACACCTGCCCAATCCACATCTATATAAACTTTCACTTTCAGATGGTTGTGTTTACTGAATAGCAAACAAGTCCCTAGATACTTCTTCGAATATTTGAGAATCCTCTCAGTAACCTCTAAGTGTAGTACTTTAAGGGAATGCATGGATTGACTCAAAACCCCAACATAAGAAATATTAGGGTGTATCATAGAAAGGTATAATAGTCTTCTAACTAATTTTTGAAACGGTTTTACATCTTCCAAAGGTTCTCCATCACAATCACCTAGTCTATGATTAACATCAAATAGGGGTAGCAGTTGACTATGCACCTTATTTGCTTGTATTTTGCAAGAGATCTAAGATTTATTTTCTTTGAGAGACAAAGATACCTTTTTGTGGCTAAGAACTCCTTCAACTTTTGTATCTTAGAGCTTTAGTTACAACCTGCCCCTGATACCTCTTAACAAAGAGAGTGTGATTAGGCTAGCACTATCTGAACCCTACTTTCTGAACTTCCATATGAAATTTACTAAACAAGCTCTAGGAGAGTATTATAAGCCATATAGGGACTTCCTCAACCTATACACCTTATTTTCATTGCCTTTGGCACAAAAACCAAGTGGTTGAACCATATACACTTCCTCTTCCAGATCACTTTCAAGAAAGTGTTTTTAACATCAAGTTGGTGCAACTCTCAGTCCAAATTGACAAGCAATGATAAAAGGACCCAAATAGAATTCATCTTTATTATCGGGGCAAATGTCTCATTATAGTCAACACAATATACTTGAGTGTACCCCTTAGCTACTAGCCTTGCTTTGTACCTTTCTATTGTCTCACCTACCTTGTGCTTCACTATGAACACCCATTTACACCCTACTGAGTTTTTCCCTTTTGGAAGGTCCACCATCTTCCAAGTATGACTCTTATGGAGGGCATTAATCTCCTTCAAAGCATCTATCCATTTAGGGTATGTCAAGGTCTTTGCCACACTTTTGGGTATGGGGGTACTATCAATAGCAGACAAGAAGGCACAATAAGGGGGAGGAATATGGTCATATGACATATAATGGGTGACGGGGTGTTCAGGAGTGCATGACTTGACACCTTTTCTTTGGGCAATAGGAATGTTTAGGTCATCCACGCAGTCATCAACTAAAAAGGGGGACAAAGGAATCAATGGGAACAAGGATACATGGTTCAATTGGATTTACCTTTTGGGATTTTGACAGTGTTGGTTGCTCAACATCTGGAAACTCTACTTCTTTAGAACACTACTGATCTCTATGGCGCATACGCAAGAAAACATGAAAAGGAGTAGGATCTGGATTGGAAGGAAGATGGACCTGGCGAGCTTGCTTCCCCTCCATACAACTCTCCCCTTGAGGAGTAGTGTAGAATGGTTCTAACTCAAAGAAAGAAACATCGATAGAGACAAAGTACTTACGGCTAGCAAGATCAAAGCATTGGTAACCCTTTTGAGAAGAGGGGTACCCAAGGAAGATACATAGGATAACTAAAGGTCCAACTTACCACGAGAAGAAGACAAATCATGAACAAAATCTCGACAACCAAAAACTCTCATAGGAATGGTGAATAAAGGGATTGAGAGAACAAAAGTTGATGGCAGGCTTTATAGTCTAATACTCCGGAGGGCATGCAATTGATTACATATGTAGTAGTAAGCACGTCATCCATCCAAAAATGTTTAGGTACATTCATGTGTAATATCATCTCGCATGCTACTTCAAAGAGGTGGTTTTTTTCTTTCTGCAACACTATTCTGTTGTGGTGTTTTTGCACATAAACTTCGATGGGATGATTCATGGGATGCAAAAAAACTCATTTAGGTCACCATGGAAGTATTCTTTTGCATTATCTTATTGGAATATCTGAATCTCAACATGGAACTAAATAAACACTATCCACTGGAAATCCTTTACCATTTTTGGAACTTCATCAGTTCATCTCTAGTGAGCATGGGAAATAGCCACGTAGAGTGGGAATAATCATCAACCAATGTAATAAAGTACTTATAACCCCCCTCCAATATTATAGTGGTAGGTCCCACACATCTGAATGTACAATATGGAAAGGGAAATTTGATCTTTTATTACTTGAATGAAAAACAGTTCTACATTGCTTGCTTAACCGACACATTTGACATTGAAATTCGGACACTAGATATGACTTGGATAAAAGAGGAGACAAATAATTCAAAGGACACATGACCCAGGTGGTTATGCCATGAAAACACCTGACTCTTATTTGATTGACTCAACTATTGACTCTGAGGTTGATGCTAAGAAACCAGCCTTGCTTTCAAGAATGTAGAGACCATATGCCATACTTTCTCTACCAATCGTCCTCCTGAAGGTTAAATCCTAGTAAACACAAGAGCCAGGAAAGAAGGTTATACTACAACTCAAGGGATTTGTAATACTACTAATAGAAAGCAAATTAAGAGGCTTTAGGTATGTGCAGCACATTACTAAGTTTAAGGCCATGGGGAAGAGATATATTGATCCTTGACCTATAATGGAAGAGAATGATCCATCTACAAGACCCACTTTATCTGTCCCAGACAAATGGTTATAAGACAAGAAAATATTGGGTTTACCAATCATGTGGTTGGAGGCCCCTAAATCAATAATCTAGGGGGAATCTGTGGCAATGGATGTAGGGAAGGCAAAAGCAACATTACGTGATGGACGCAAATGAAATAGGGGTACCAGTAGTTGTACTGTCCATTTGACGTAAGGCCCTACCATATGATTCTAGATGATCATGAAAGGAGTTAAAGATATCCTCCTTGGGGTCAAAACTAGTATGATGCACCTGAGTTGTACTAGTAGGCACACTAGTAGTCTGACTATCTTGAGCTACCATATTAGCTGCACTATACTTCTGGCCCTACATCGTGCTTTGCTCTTGGTTTTTTACTACCTACTTAGGCTTCCCAATGAGAACCCAATAAGTATCATGTGTATGTTTCAAACGCCTACAATGAGTACGTCGTAACTTGTCCTTATCATCATTCTTCTTGGTATCACTCTCCTTCATAACATTATTGCCACTTTTTTGCAACCAAAGCCATTTGTTGTCCCCCCTCAGTTGTAACCATCACACTCTGTCTACTTTCCGTAGACTGGACCAGGGCATACACTTACTTGGATTGAAGGCAGCTCACTACCCCCCAAAATCTGAACTCTAAGGGGCTCATACACAAGGTTTAGCCCCAACAAGAAGGCAAAAGCCTGTTGCTGAGAGACTTTCTTATATGCCTTGGCATCATCATCATGCTTCCACTCAATAGTCCAGTAGTGGTCTAACTCCTTCCACATTGAGGTAAGAGCTGAATACGACGCTGAGAAACTACAATCCCTATGTTTACAAGTGGAGACTTAGCCTATAATTGATAAATCTTGGCGTAATGCTTTTGTTCAGAATATTGTTTTGGCATGTTCCCATATCTCATTAGCAGTGTCTGCCCACATAAAATTCTTCCTCACATCAGGTTCCATGGTTATAAGAAGGCAAGACATCACCATACTATTCTCCTGATCCCCACCTATCATGTTCAAAAGTTCCATTCTTAGGTTCTTTTACCTTCCCATTAACATATCCTGTTTTTTCTCTTGCAGTTACACAGAACTTTATACCCTTAGACCACTCCAGATAATTCAGGCCATTCAAGGGGGCAATCGACATAGGGAAAATCATGTTATTAGACCTTACACTAGTTGTTCCCCATGATGCTGTAACCCCAGAAGAAGCAGAGTCATTGGTGGCCATTTGAACAACACCAAAATGCAAAAAAAGTAAAGATCTGAAAAATATAACTGGTCACAACTCATCCCCAACACCTGCAATCACAAATAGGGGAGCAAAACTTCAACTGAACTACTCAAAAGAGTCAATCAAACTGATGAAACTAGACAACCACAGCTGTACAGTACTAGATCTTCAAGCTTTAATGGCTTTCAGTCCACATACACCAAGTTTTAACTATTCTCAGACTCAGTCCACGTACTCTCACTTTTACTGCATCAAACTGTCACCACCTATTCTTCTTGGTGTTACGACCAAGAGAGAACAACAAAGAAGAAAAGAAGTACTGATTTGATCAGGCCGATTAGGGATTCTTCACTCCATAGTCCAAAAAACAGAGAATTCTGGGTAAGAAAGAGATCTGAATGCTTCTACTGCCCAACGATCAGATCTGATACCATGTTTTCATCCAAGAAACAATAGAAAAATAAGAAGAGAGGAGGAGAGGAGAAGAGAAGAACGTGTTTAAGGAGAAAAAGAATAGGCTGGTGGTGCCCTTTCTTCTATTTATAATAGGGTGACAAAAAATAAAAGGGAGGAATTACAATAATGCCCCTGGTGGCACAATCTAATAAAAAAACAATAACAGTAATTGATAGCATACTAACAGTAAACTAAAAGCATTTATATTATTTTTATTATTGATAGGAAGGAAGTGTATGTGGGATGCCAATGTCCAATGCATGTCTGACATGGGGACTTCATCCATTTACAAGAGTTCATGGGCTTTGGGATTTCTAGATGGACCTCGTTGTACATGAATGACAATTTATTGTTATTGAGTTTTATTACCTAACCAAACTTATTTATTTCTATTTGTAGGTTATCCAGGTCAACAAAGAGCTAAAGGTGCAGAGCTCTCCAAATTTGGAAGACCAGTAAGTATCCAATTGCTTCTTTGTGGGGTTTTAGTGTGTAATTTGGTAGTTTGTTTCATTTATTGACATATGTGCCAAATAAACCATTGCACCATTAATATGACGATGGAATGTTATACCCTTAAGATTGGAGACCAAGAGAGAAATCAATGTGACCTTTTTCTGTACCTTGGTTCAACAATTCATAACATGAGAGAGATTGAGGAGGATATCACCTAGCATAGGATGGGGAAAATGGAGAGGGTGCGTCAGTCTTATGTGATAGGTGAATACCACTTAGATCAAAAGGAAAATTCTATAAAGCATCTTTAAGGCCAACAATACTATATGGAAAGAGTGTTGGACAATCAAGAAGCATGTCCAAAAAAAAGTGTGGCACAAATGCGTACGCTGAGATGGATGATTGGAAAAATTATAGGGTCAGAAATGAAGTCATTCAAAAGAACCTATGAGTATCTCCAATAGGTGATAAAATGAGATAAAATAGACTTAGATGGTTTGATCATATGCATAGAAGACCACCTACAACACCCGTAAGTAGGGGTGGCCACGAGCCGAGCTCTTCATGAGCTACTCAAGCTCGGCTTGGCTTGGTTTCAGCCAAGCCTCAAGCTGAGCTCGAGCCCAATTTACAGGCTCGATTAATAAACAAGACGAGCCCGAGCCTAATAGAGCTAGGCTCGTGAGGCTCGCAAGCCGAGCTCAAATATATATATATATATATATATATATATTATAATTCTTAAATTTTTAAATACCAAATAAAAAATATTTTTTATTTTTATAAAACATTTTTTCTCAAATCGAGATCGAGCTTGAGATCGGCTCGAGCTCAAGGTTCTAGCTCGAGCTCAATCCTTGTACTACCTTGGCGAGCCGAGCTCGAGCCTCGTACTAGTCGRATCGGTTCAGCTCGAACCCACCCCTACCCATAAGAAAAGTGATTAGTTGCAAGTTGAAGGGACTAGAAGGACTAGGAGTAGACTATAAAGGACATGGGTCAAAATAGTAAGAAATGATTTAAGCGCTCATAATTTAACAATATATATAACATTAAACTAGTGTTTTAAAAGGCGTGGGAGGTGTACGCCTCCAAGTGAGGCACTCCCAAAACGCCCTGAGGCGTATGCCAAAGGCACTAACACCTCTGAGGCATACGCCTCTTGCGCTTTTCTCATGAGGCGTGCTAGAGGCGTGCTAGAGGCGTATGCCTCTTGCGCCTCATGCACATTTGATATGAAAATACAGGAAAAAAAAAGAAAAAGGAAAGGATAGGAAAGGAAAGGAAAGGAAGAAAAGTAAGGGAAGGGAAAAAAAGATAAAGGGAAAGAAAATGGTTTGCTCCCTATCCCTTCGGCTGGGGGGCTTCGCCCCCCAGACCCCCCCTCCCCCTTTTCATATCAGCCCAATCTGATATGAAAACACTGTTATGCATCTTTATTCTTCTTAATATAAAAGATTTTTATTAAAAATAAAGAAAAAATGAGATCCCCCCTTCCTTTTAAGGAGGCTTATGCCTCTTGCGTTCTGAATTACGCCTTACGCCTCTGCGTTTTAAAACACTGCATTAAACCAATACTTGTTATTAGCCTAGTACTTGCTTTATCTAGGTTATCCCACTTTCTGGCTGCTTTTTGCTCCCCTCATATGGCACCAGAAGTTTCCCTATCCATGTTATGTCAGTCACTGGCTATTGTAAAAACATTTTAGAGGTGCTTATGGTGCATACCCATTACTCGGTGTAATGGTAAAATCTCGGGTTGTCAAGTGTGAGAACGCAAGTTTGAGTCTGAGACTGGCCACTTTGTGCAAAAAAATTGCCAAATGTTAGGACCATATCCAGTCAGCCCCTCCCAAGACCCCAGATAGCTGGGACCAACATTGGGTAATGGCCTTTCTGTATGGTGCATACCACTGCTTTGCATTGCACCAGTCTTTGTACATACTTATGCAATGATGCTTTAGCTTATGAAATTGGACCTTGGTTATAATATTACCTCCAATTTCTAGTCTGTTACATTTCTGGCAATACCTGGAGGATGATGGGCCCCTTGGGGCTGATATGTTGCTGACTGAGAACTCATGTTATGGTGTTTAAATATGACTAGGTATGCATCTGTTTTTCTCAATGCTTCCAGGACATGTTTCCCAGAATAATCAATGAAATCTTGGCCTTCAATTGTGTACCTGGTGTATCTAAGATGTTCTTCAAGTAGTCAAGGTCTCTGTTTACCTTATGGTTCCCATTGGAAAGAAGATGCATGTAGTTGCACCTTATGTACTTTTAGTCTCTCTCATGGTTCATGGGCATCCAGAGAAGTATTGATTTGGTGTATCACAGGCATATATTCATTAACATCATAGGTGTTAAGTCTTAGCAAGAGTATTATAGATATCATTCTTCACTTACTAAATTTCTTCTGCTTTATTTACAACAGAACAATGAGACTCCAAAATTGACATAAGCTGTCTGAAACAGTGACTTCCGAAAACCTGCAGCCATGCAGTAGATGTACCATTTTTTATAGTGTCAGCATGTGCAACTATAATTGTAGTCGTATTCATCAAAAAAAAAACTATAATTGTAGTTGTAATGGTTTAGCCATTAGCAGTGTTTGAGAAGGCATTGGAGCTAAGAAAATACCTGGAAGCATACAGACACTTGAGGTGTACACCTCATATGCTCTTACCTTTTAAGCTAGTTTTATATAATAAAAATATTATACATACAAGTAGAGGCACCATTTTATCATGTTCCCCATTAGATATTAACATAATATAGAGGATAAAAACCCTCCAAATTTGTTTATTCTAATACAATAATAAAATGTTATAAGTAGAGATGGGGGCTTTGATGTCTTTTAATGCATTACAATTAACTTGAATATGAGATTACACAATTGTTTATGATAACATTGTACAATTTATGTGATTAGTTAATTTTGAAATTTTGATTTGCAACTTTGCAAGTGATATATTGATGGCTAATGATACTTGTATAATTATGAATGATGATACTTCATGTAATGGTACTACAATTCTATATTTAAATGTGATAGTTTTGTTATTAGAAATTGAAAATAAAAGAATTTTATTAACTTCTCATAATTTTTTCCTATTTGTATGGGATATTACTATATATTTTATTTAATTTATCCTATTTTAATTATTTATTAATTAAAAAATTCATGCTCCTTGATTCTGGTTTATGCCTCATGCCTTAGTATGGTGAAATGCCTTGTGTCATGCATCCATATTTTAAAATATTTGCCCTTAGTTGTAATGGTTTAGCCCTTATTGAAGATTATACATCCTTCAGGGCATTTAACTCTTATTCAAGTCCATGGCTTTCTAGAAGCTCTCTGATTCCTTCCTGGTTTTGATGATTCATTTGCCTACCATGCACTGGTACAGTAGGGAGTAAAACACTGTTGCTAACAATAGGCATTTATCTGTTTGGTTTCAGTTACAGCCACATATATCCATTCATTAGTTGAATTGCACAGTTTCGCTCATAGATTGTTTGATCAATTGCAATTCTAAAAAGACAATATGACCATTAGAGTATTTTTGTGATTCTAGAGAGAATGTGCTGAGTATGGCTGAGGTTAGGTTTGATACAATTTGGCAATAAGAAAGAATACGTCAATAAGTAGTGTATTGATAAGAGATGGATGAATGGCCAGCTCAGGAGAATAAAATTGGGAAGTATTGCATTCTTAGGAACCTAGGGGTTGCTTCAATAGGTCATAAAATGTGAAGTGTTTATTTAGATAATTTGTCATGTGTATTTAATTTCAATGTTGCCCCATTGAGAATGATGTTTTTTTGGTAAATCCAGTGAGAATGATTTTTGTGCAAGTTATAAGCACAGGACAAGAGCATGATAGAGAAGTATGTGGTTGTGGTAAGATAGGTTTGAGGACCTATTATTTAGCAAAAGATATGGCCATATAGTACAGAGTGGAAGAGAATGGTATCTTGCAGTTTATACAGAGAAAGCACAGACCAGAACAACAGACAGAAGCCTTTACTCTTCCTCCCCCTCTTTGTGACAGTGATCAATGCATTTCTTTTTTATTGGTATTTGCATTCAATTTTTGGTGAGAGGTTTTCCAAATCTGGTTGCCTATTCTGGTTATGGTTTGCTGTTGCAGGTCAAATTCTGATAACAATTTTCAGAAAGTTTGATTATAAAAATGACATTCTAAAATGTTTTCTCTGTGAAGGCAAAATTACGGAGCTCGTCTTGGTGGATACGGTATTTTGTTCAGACTGGACTGGAAGAAAATGAAACTGCCATCAAGAAGTTTGAGCAGGCTGCTGCTAAAAGGTCATACAAACCAAGCTGCCAGGTATTCCACCTTAGTGCATACCGCTGAAATCTCAACATAATGTCTCCACCACCGTGGTTGGAGATTCTTGGTAGAACTAAAACAAAGGAGTTTTCACCCTTAGCTCTGAATTGAAGGGACATCCTCCTGCTGGTAAATCAAGATGGGTGGGTGTGACCATTTCTGATCACTTTATTTTGTCTTCATAAGGTGATAGATATTTATTTATTGAAATTTTCATGAGCTTCAGCATTCTATAAGATGTATTTGCTAAGTTAGGTTTTCCCATTTGTCTGTTGTAACTGCAAAGACTGTTTTCATTCATTGTATGATTTTGCCAAGACTTAAAGTTATATTTTACGAGAAAAGTTTAGTTTCAAGTGAAAAACAGCAATTCTTTGTTTGAACTTATATCCCGCCTATTTGTAGTTTAACTTTCTATAGGGACAAATACCAAAAAAACTCTCCATATGAACTATGGACAGATTATTTATTCGGAGCCTTGTGGAGCTCCAGATAGGTCTCCCCACGGAGTGCGGATTTCCTCTTAACATAATCCTCCTCACACCATCCGCACATTGAAAACTAATGTTTTAAAAACCGACCTGGAGGGTGAACTGTTTTTGCYTCTGGGTTGTGGGTCACCAGTTTGACTGGCCAGGTTGAACGGTTTAGACCGTGCCACATCAGCGCATATATGTACTAAGTATTATATATATTATAACAATAAAAAATGTATAAATATATTTTAGATATATTATATGTATTATTTTATATTTAATTTATGTTTTTAATTCATTTTTTAGTTTTTTATTTATAAAAATATTAAAAATTCAATTTGAGGTAAAAAAGGGTTTTTTTTTGCTAAAATAGCGGGGTAATGCACCTACGGTTTCTTGGGATGCATACATCTCAAAAAGTTACCTAAAATAAAAAAAAAAACATCCCAATTGGACATAAAAAAAGTCATTCCAATTGTGTGCATCGAGTGTGCAACCCACAACTTGGCCATCAGGTCAAATGGTTTTTGACCAAGTCAACAGTTTTTTATTGTTTGGTGGGTTTTAACTGAATTGGACCCAGAATCCTGGCCGGGTGATAGTTTGAATGGTTCGACCAACCGGGTCAATGGTGAATTGAAAACATCTCCTTATTTGTATGTTTTATTCAGGGAGAGAGATTCTCAGTGCACGACTGCAAATGATATGAGGTGGGTGTAAAAATCATTCTGTGAAGAGGGAGTTTGGATCTCCTGCAAGCAAGTAAAAACTCTGCTCACATAGTATCCAATTGCATGAGAATATCTTTCATACATTTATATTCCATTCTTTCATGTATAGAGTTTTTGCTTGCAGAGAATCCCTTTGCATGTGGAAGAAATCCAGATTCCTCCTCACGCTTCTTTTTGCTTCATCTCCCCATTCTTTTATTTTTTTTACTTTTTTAATGGTTTAGCGAATTGTTGTAGCCTTCACAGCAACCAGCCGGAGGCTTTTTTTTTTTTTTTGAAAAATAACCAGCTAGAAACATTTTCAGTCCGATCTGGCCATAACAAGCTACCCTGCCTGTTTGATTGAACCATCCTAATGTTTTTAACAATTGACTAATTCTATCTTTACCATTAGCATCGGCTAATATTCTGTCAAAATCCATACACATGTGAATTGTGACAGCACATGACATTTAAGATTTTTCTAAAACCCAATATTATTCCCATCTCCTTCTTCTCGACGCAGCGGCAAAACACCAGTACCCCTTCCTCCAACCTCTCTCTCTCTCTCTCTCCTTCTTCTTCCACCTTCAGTCAACCCTTTTCACCTTCTTCAAGCTCACAATACCGAACAAAGCTGGCAACAAGCCTTAATGGAGGTTGTTAGATCAAAGTTCTCTTTATTGTTGTTTGTTTCGTTTCTTTCATCTCTCGCAATACCTTAATAGAGGTCGTCAGATCATATGGTATTTGATGAAGGGTGATTTAGCCCGACCTAGTAAAAATGGGACACGTGGACACGACCTGATCAAGAGATGACAACTCAGCCTGACAAGTTCAGTTCACAACAATGAAGCTTGCGTATTCAGTCACATTGGCACAAAGGCCACGGTTTAAGGATCACGTCGGAGCAGAGCCACCTAGATGCAGGCCTCACCTCGACATCGAGGCACCTCGGTATTCAAGCCAGTTCGGAACTAAAAGGCCGAAGTACCAGTTCGGAACCAACAACTCAAATCGACACGTAACCAACTCTAGAGGTCTCTCCAACAACTCCAGAATCCCTCGAGATCACGATAAATTAACAGATCCCGACCTTTCCGGGATCACGATAAGCACTTATCGTCACTCCGTCGGAATCAGAGGAGGAATGAGATAAGCCATACCTGTATGTTGTTCCTTTGGAAGCGGAGTGAACTCCATCTCCACATCCTGGATATCCCGGAACTCTTTCATGTGCCCCACGAATACTCAACTATATAAAGGCTCCAACCCCGATGGCATGAGGTACGTATGATTTATTTGCTCTCTAGCTCTCTACATTCTCAAAGCTATTTCAGCTCGCAATAACTTACTAACTTAAGCATCAGAGTGATCTCGCCGGGCTAACCACCCCGGATTCTTTGATCTTACTTTGCAGATTTAGCTATCTTGCCGTCCCACCGAAAGCCAGATCTCACGACATCATGGAGCCACCGGAGAGTTCTCTTCACTGCTTAGTGGAGGTTGTCAGATCAAATCAGATGGCCCTTAATGGAGGTCAAATCAATCAGGGACTTGAGTCGGTGTTTCCATTTGCACTCTCCTTTTTCTTTTCCTTCTTCTTCCTCTGCCTCCCTTCTCCTCTGTCTATTTTTGGATCAACAAAAATCACCGCACCACTGCAACTTCCAACAGCGGCAATGATTTTCTTCTTCCTCTGCCCCCCTTCTCCTCTATTTTTGGATCGACCAAAATCACCATCGCCACTGCAACTTCCAACAGCAGAGGTGATCTTCTTCCTCCTCCACTCCCTTTCACCTCTGTTTTTGGATCGACCAAAATCACTGCCGCCGCTACAACTTCCAACAGCAGCAGTGATCTTCTTCCTCTGCCCCCCTCCCTTCCCCTCTTCATTCTCCTTCTCCACCTCCCCTACAAGCTGGTAGAGCGATTGGAAGTGTCGGTGGTGGTGCTGATCCGGTGATGGGAGTCCGTACAATCTCATAGCCATCTGATCAAAAGAATCTCAACAACCACGAGAACCAGACCCTCTTCACTACTCACCAGATATTAGAAGCATGGATCTTCGTATCTCAGGAGCTCACCGGAAAACCAGCCCAAGACGAAGCACAGACAGTAGGCAATGTTGAATCCTCGTTCAAGGTCACCTCCACATAACCGACCCCAGAAGCACCACTCGTTCTTGGTTAGTTGAGAAGAGACCCAACTTAGAAAAAGCAGCGGTTGCCGGAAAATTCGAAATAGTGGTCGAGATGTCAATCCTAATGGTGACTCTGGCCATAATGCTCTTCTGGGGTAAACTTCATGCTAGTTTAGTTACGTAAGCATGATTATATTCCATCCCTCGCCTCTGAATGGCTGTAAAGCCCGACATAGTCGCTGGAGAAGGAGCGAATTCTAATAGCATTGATTTCAACTCCGAAGAGTACAAGAAGAAGGTGACCTTAGAGGGGTTGTTGGAAAGAAACCACCGGAGCGGTGTTGGACTTTTCTGACTCAGTCGAGATTATGTTCACATGATCACATCTAACTTCGCTATATTGAGGTTGCCACATTGTCATGGAGTAGCATCTCCCTACTCAAATCCAACTGCCACAACTGTGAAAGGGTTGGTGTGCTCAGATCAGCTGCCACTGGTTGCCACCAGATCCAAATCTACCGTTGTAATTGCAGTGGCGATGATAATGCAAGAGAAGGGATAAAGAGAGAATGAGGGGAGAGTAAAAATGGGATCAAGGGAGATTCAGAAGACAACTTAAAGGCAAAATATGGACGTTTCATTAGTTCTATTACGATTTAACGGTGATGGCAATTGTTAGAAACTGGAGGGGTGGATTAAGACAATAATTAAATAGTAAAGGTACAATTTCTCAATTACCTAAACAATAGGAGTAGTTTAAAATTTTTGCTGAATTAGATTTGAAAGAATCTTTTTTATGATAATATGGGCAGCGCGGCCATSGTTGAAAGGAGCCTTTGCTCTTTTATAAAGGAAGCGAAACTACAAAAGTAAACTCGATTCTATAAGATTCAAGTGGAGTGGAGTTGGAGCCGGGAGGGAGTGTATATGGAAGAAAGGACTTTTTACAAAAAAAAATGACCAAGTTTGGTCAATTGACAATTTTAGTTATGTTTTTAAAATAATAGCAAAGTGAGTGAGTGGGAGGAAACATAAAGTTTTTAGGACAAAATTACCCTTTTGTTAAAAACATAATCCACTGAATCCAAAGAGCATTCATGTTTCATTCGTTCGACTCCATTCATTGATATTGCGGCTGGCTGGAAGCATCTCCAAGTTCAAGTTTGACTCCATCCATTCAAACTGTGGCTGGCTGGAAGCATTGACTTCATCCATTCAAACGATTTCAGATTGGGAAGCATCGATTCCATCTGGCTGGGAAGCACCAACTTAATTGATTCAGCTACGGCTGGTTGGGAAGACTCCATCTTCAAAGCAATATCCCTCTTAAATTGAGTTTGAGTGATATGGGGTCCCATTCTTCATCCAAGTGTGAGTTCAAGCGATTTGGGATCCCATTCTCCTTCCAAGTTCAAGTTCAAGTTCAAGTGATTTGGGGTCACATTCTCCAAGTTCGAGTTTGAAATTTTTTTTTTATCAATAACAATTTCAATAATTTTATTAAAGCACAAGAATAGTTACATGAAGGAGACAAACACTCTTATCTTTCAAAGACAACTTAAGTCCTCAAAAAAAGAAAGGAAAAAAGAAGCAAATTAGTTACAACTTAGCCCAAAACATTACATCTCTTTCTATTCCCTGTTTAGTTATCCCATCAGCTATAGAGTTGGCTATTCTTTTAACCCAACTCATCTTGATTTCCATTTTCCGCACCAGCCACTTGAGTTTTCTTCTCTCATTGTTATACTACCATAATCCACAGTTGTCTTTCCTCAGCCACCCTATGACCACCTTCGAGTCCCCTTCAATTATAAGTTTTCTGATGTCCATTTCCTTAGCTTTTTGAACTCCTTCCATAACTTCCAAGATCTCAGCTCTAAGAGAGTCCCTCACTCCAATTGGACCTGAGAACATGGCTGAAATGACTCTATTCTCATCCCTAAAAACACCCCCAATCCCTGATTGTCCAAGATTCCCCCTACAACTCCCATCAAAGTTTAGTTTTAGAAATCCAGCAGGTGGGGGTGTCCAAGACGCCTCCACAACTGATTTGGACTTCATATAGCTTGCAATCTCATCCCACTTCCTCAACATGTCATCCATCGTGTAGTCTGTGAATAACTCTAGAGATTTCAACCACTGTACAACCCTGATCTGGATCACAACCCTCAATTCTTCAGCTCCTCTCTCCTTATCTGAGAAGATTCTAAGATTTCTTTCTTCCCATAAGGACCAACATACTGCAGTTCTCGGTCCTCTCCACATAGTCCTTCCCCTTTTCACACGCCACCTGAACAAAGAAGGAGAAAATAGGCTCTACAAATTTGATGGAGGGTTCCACCTGCGCCCAAAGAGAGAAAAAGCCCATTCCCAAATTGACTTTGCAAATTGGCACAACACCAGTAAGTGAAAACCAGTCTCCCCATCCGCTTTGCAAAGAACACACCAATGAGGTGATAAGCATGTATAGGGTCTTTTCTTTTGAAGCAAATCACCAGTATTGAATCTTTTTAGATAGGCTTCCCAACAAAAACTACCAACCCTAAGAGGGATTGGTCTGCACCAAACCTCATTAACTAGGAAAAGGGGAGGTTGCAGGATTGGTGGACTAATATAAGACTCTGAAAAAGGAAGCATAGGAAAAAGAGCCCATGGGAGTCGGGGTCCAAGTTCTAAAGTCCACCTTAGAGGGGTCAATGAAGAAATTATCAAGAAAGTCAAGAAAGCTCAAGACATTGTGGAAGTCAGAGTCCCTCACAGCCCTCCTCAATCCCATGTTCCACCCAAACCCAGAACTGGAGGAGGAAGGGGTGACGAAAAAAGAAATTGGCTTATTTTTAAACTCAGAGAGGGCATATAGGGAAGGAAACTAGTCTTTAAGAGGAACATTTCCCACCTAAGTTTGTTACCAGAATTTTATGCAAGTGCCAGAGTTCAAATCATACCTGACCAGTGGGGAGAAGACTGGAAGCAAATCATGAATGGCTTTTCAAGGTGAATTGCTTGTGGTTCTTGCTCTGATTCCAGCATCCCATCCATTCTACTCCATCCCATGTATGATTGCCACTATTCTAAACCATAGCTTCTCCTGCTCCAAAGGAAACCTCCACAACCACTTTCCCAAAAGGGTCGAGTTCCTTTTCCCAATATTCCCAAGCCCCAAACCTCCACAAGCTTTACTCCTGGTCACAATTTTCTAGCTAACTCTATGGTCCCTCTTCCCCTCTCCTAACTCCCAAAGGAAATCTCTCATTAATCTCACTACTGTTTGATTGTTTGTCTTCTTGCAAATGTTAGAGTTAGCAGGAAGGGTTTTTTTCTTCTAACCTCAATTTGGGGTTCCATTCCCTTTATTTTTTTTCTTGTTTCTTGTTTTTCCAACTCTTTTTAACTGGCATGGGGAGATTTTACATATTTTATTTTTTGTTTGTTGTTTCTTTGTATTTGTATTTCACTTTTAAATAACTAATATGATTCTTTGGTCAAATTCTGATTGTGCATTCTTTTGTTTAAAGAATGAAAGAAATTCCTTCCTCTCAAAATGTAAGTAAATGGTGATTTAGTTGAGTATTTGCAAAATGTAACTAAAAGAAATAAGACTTAGAAGTCAATAGAAAGTTGGAAATGAATGGTTGCTAGAATTATATAAATGGCAACCATATGATGATTTAAATGTTGAAGCTACAATTTCTTTTGACCAGAATATCAGTATATAATAACTCATAAAATGTGTTAATATATATAGGACTCTAGAACCTGAATTATATAAACGGCAACCATATGATGATTTGAATGCTAAAGAAGTCCTAGTAGGGGCACTAGAGGCAAAGATTTATGGTCGTGCACAAACATGGCTTGTGTGCCTAACATTGTGGAATGGCGCATGCCCAATAAATGCATGATGCAATTTGGGTTTCTAAGTCTATAAATATGAGAATCATACAAAACCAAGAGATTCATTGAGTTCTAAATGGTTTTGATGGTGTAACTACCTATAGGGGGATAGATGTTCAAAACTGTAATTTACGTATCAAAATTGCAAACAATTATCCAGTTTGTTTAGTGCCAAATGGTTTCTAAGTTTGTAAACATATAAGAATCATATAGAACAAAGAGCTTTAGTGGGTTATAAATGATTTTGTAGGTGTAACTATGATGCAGAGGGATAGATGTTTGCAACTATAATTTATGTTTCAAAAAGCATTCAGAAAAATTATGTTTCAAAATTGCAAATAATAATCCAGTCTGTGTAATGCCGGATGGTATCAAACTCTATAAATAACTATTTGGTCTATGTAATGCCGGATGGTTTCCAACTCTATAATAAACCATTCGGTCTTCTCCATGTCGGATGGTTTATACACTTGTGAGAATTATATACTACATTATGGAATGTTGGGCTTTAAATGATTTTGAGGGTGTAAATACTGTTTTATCACCTAGGGGGCTGAAATTTACAACTGCAATTGAAAATTCAAAACTACAATATACCATTTGATTTGTGTAATGCTGGATGGTTTCCAATTCTATAAAACACTATTCGATCTGTGTAATGCTAGAGGGTTTCCAACTCTGTAAAACACTATCCGGCGTGATGCTGGATAGTTTCCAACTTTGTAATAAACCATTCAGTTTGTATAATGTTGAGTGGTTTCCAACTCTGTAATAAACCATCCGGTCTTTCCCATGCCGAATGGTGCCTAAATATGTTAAACACCACCCAGGTTATATCAGATAGTCTAGGCACAAAGTTTGTTCTTGTTGTTGACCCTATAAGTAGATATGTAGTTTGGGTATTAATCACAAAGATAAGCATTATGGGATTTATTCAATTATCCAGTTGTTTTAGCCAACCTAGCATTATCATTCACCACCTTCCTCTAGTACACTTGCTTTTAAGATGGAGTCGATGCTTCCCAACTAACCATAGTTTGAATCGATGGAGTCGATGCTTCCCAACCAAATGAAGTCGACGCTTTCCAATCTGAAATCATTTGAATGGATGGAGTTTATGCTTCTCAGCCAACTGCAGTTTGAATCGATCAAATTGATGCTTCTTGGCCAGATGGAGTTGATGCTTCTCAATCTGAAGTCGTTTGAATGGCTTGAGGCACCAGATGGAGTCGATGCTTCCCAATTTGAAGTCGTTTGAATGGCTAGAGTCAATGCCTCCAACCAACCACAGTTTGAATGGATAGAGTCAAATTTAAACTTGGAGATGCTTCCAACTGAATGAATGGAGTCCAATTCAAACTTGGAGAAGACGAACAAAATATTGAATGTTTTTTGGATTCGATGGATTCTATTTTTACAAAAAGTTAAATTTGTCCCAAAAACTTCATATTTTCTACTGCTCACTCAATTTTCTATTATTTCTAAAACATAATTGAAATTATCAATTGACCAAACTTGGTCAATTTAAAAAAAAAAAAAAAAAAGTAAATTTGTATTTGCGACAATTCGGCCTGCTATGTTTCTTCCTATCCCCCAAAGAGTTGGCGGGCTTCTTCTCTTCCGACCCACGTTTAAACTATCAAGGTCTTCCCTTGTGTGGATTCCGCATATTCATGCCATACAGGAATCTGAAGACCCCTCCACCTCTTACACTCGTATTCTTCAGTGTCATGCAAGTTCCAGAGAGGTTGAGCAGATTCATGCTCGAATCATCATCGAAGGATCCTCTTGGGACAGTTTCTACGCCACCCACCTCGTCAAATCCTACGCTAAGGCGGGAAATCTTCATGCAGCCCATCTCGTTTTTGAATTGGTTCCTAAGAAGACCGTCTTCCTCTGGAACGCAATGATACGGGCTTTTAGTCAAAGCCAATCGTGGTCAAAGATTGCTCAACTGTATAGGAGGATGGAGGAGGAGAGACTTGATCCTGATGGTTACACTCTTCCCTTTGTGATCAAAGCATTTTCGGCTCTTTTCTGTGTTGAAGAGGGGAAGAGAATTCACAGTCTTGCATGTCGAGCTGGGTTGGTCAATAATGTCTATGTAGCCACTGCTTTGATAGAAATGTATGTTACGTTCGACGAAATTGGTAACGCACGTTTAGTATTCGATAGAATGCTTGAAAGGGATGTTGTCGCGTGGACTTCCATGATTTCTGGTTATATTGATTGTGGAAACCATCGTGAGTCTCTACGCCTTTTCAGAGAGATGAGATTGGGAACTGAGAAGCCAAACCGGGTCACTATTCTCACTTTGATCCCAGCTTGTGATAGCTGGATTCATGCTTTTGTAATAAAGTCAGGCTTGGGTTTCTCTCCGGAGGTGGAGACCGCAATCCTCGATATGTATGCGAAAGGTGGGGATGTTGCGGCTGCTCGTAGTTTGTTTGACAACATGGCGGAAAAGAGTTTAGTTTCATGGACGGCAATGCTGAGTGGATATTCACGAAATGGATACGCTCATGAGGCTCTTTTGCTATTCTGTGAAATGCTTAAAGCAGCTGATGTGAAGCCAGATGCCATTGTCGCTACGAGCGTTCTTCAAGCATGTGCGCAACTGGGCTATCTGAGATGTGGAGAGATTATTCATGGCTACATTATTCGAGTTGGGCCTCAACCACAACTATTGGCTGAAACCGGTTTGATTGACATGTACGCAAAATGTGGAAACATAAAGGCAGCGCAAGTGATTTTTGATGGGATTCAAGATCCAAATATGATCGCATGGAGTGCTTTGATTGCCGGGTATGGTCACCACGGACTTGGTTCTAAGGCTCTTAATCTGTTCGAGAAGATGAAGCGGCAGGGGTTTGTCCCTGATGAAACCGCCTTCCTAAGCATACTATCTGCTTGTAGTCACTCGGGTCTTGTTCGTGAAGGGAAGGAGTGTTTCGACTCCATGTTGCGAGAATGGAATATGATGCCAAACACGAAGCATTATGCTTGCATGGTTGACCTTCTTGGTCGAGCTGGCTTGCTGGACGAGGCATGGAATCTTATAAAAAGGATGGAGATTTCACCGGACACGAATGTCTGGGGAGCACTGCTCTCTGCTTGCAGGGTTCAAGGGAATGTTGAAGCTGCCGAGTTTGCATGTCGAAAGTTGATTGAGCTTGAACCTTATGATAAAGACTACATTTTGCTTCTGGCCAACGTATACGCAGGCAATCAGAGATGGGATGAATTGTCCAAGGTAAAATCAGTTTTGTGGAAGGAAGAGAAGAGAACACCAGGGTGCAGCTTTATTGAAGTGACGTGCAAGAGTAGAGGAGATTTGCCAGATTAACAGCGATCCCTGTCCTCTGGTAGAAACAACCAAGCGAAAGGATCAGCAGCTAAAACCAGGGGGCCTGAAGTAGGAAACTGGATCTTACCAAGCAAAGCCGCGGACTCGAATCTGTTTTCTCATGCGACAAGATAGGATTAGCTGAATGCAATAGCTCTTCAACAGGAATTTGGATCTGCTGATCATAATACATCTGGCCTCATTCACATAGCCGCAGGTGTGAATGTGACCAGCAATGTGTTAGTGGTTAGCAGAGATCCGGACTAACTCAGTAGTGTTTGTGGAATCAATGATAACATTCCACACCAATTATAAAATATATGGGGCGTACAACCATTCATCTCACTATAGGTTTCATGTATTTTATGACTGACTTGAAACCTGCTACACAGCTACCGCGTTGGGCTAATCCAAATTCGCACAGCACAAGCCAAGAGGTTCTGCCATCGCACCGACAGGCAAGCACTAATCAATAAATTGGTCAGGCTCTCAGGACTACATGCCTAAGTGGTGGCTATGATTGAGCTACACACCTGACTGCATATCAGCATATTTATGTTGAGTTCTGATATTTCCCTTTTTAACGCCCAAAAATGAAATCATACAATAATTAGAAAGAAAATTGGAAAATGGAAGCAAAATTCCTTTTTCTTTCCGATTATAAAATGACCAAAGCTTGTTGTGTTTGGATAAGCTTCAGTATTTCTGTGCCCACTTTATATGATAAAGTGGGTTATTCATTTTTGTTTTTCACAGCTCAATGCTCAAAAGTACAAAAGTAAGTTTATCCAAACAGAGCCGTAACCCGTTTGGAAAGGCTGAAACTATGGTTGAGCTGCTTTTACTGAGCTGTTTTGGAAAGCCACTAAAAGAAAAGCTATATATGGTTTATGCTGTAAGATAGATAGCTACTTTGGGCTTTACAAGGTTTTCACAAGACGTTGCTTATAAATTGTCTGGGTATGCTCACCTTGCAAAGCCAAAAGCTGTCACGTGAAAACCCTCCCTAAATTCAACAGTGGAGAGTGGATCATCCAAATACCATCATGCTAAACAAGCTGTAGGCTCTCCATGATATATAATTACCCCAACCAGACCTATGAAGGCGAGTAGCCATTGCAAAAACTAAGGGCATGTCTGGTTCAACTTTCATTCTTTTCAATAATGAAATTTTAGAATTGGCAAAAATGGATAGAAATGGAAAAATGAGAAAATATTGCTACAAACCAAATAAAAAATGAATTCTTTTGTGGTAAGAATAAGAATAAATTTTGAACGTTATTCAGTTACAAATTTAATTTTTATTTGCTTTTTTATCTATCAAAATAATATAATTATACATACAACACTCATCTGCAGATACATAGTGAAAACATGCAAATCCCCAACCAACAAAACACAAATCCAACTATATGGACCACATCAATAATACAAAATATAGAAAGCAAGAAACTTCAAAAATTTTGCATTGGGTTGCTTAAAGAAAATTTAAAGGAAACAATTAGCACCAATTTAAAATTAATTAAAAGGAACTTAGTTCATTGAATGAGTAAGCAAATGCACAAATGAAGAAAAGAGCTTGAAACTTTCAAATAGAAATAGAATTTAAGAATTATAAAATTAAAATAAAATTAATAACATGAAAAAGTACAAAATGTCTAACAATTTAATCAAACTGATAATAGTATATTCAATAAAAATAATAATATATTAAAAATCAAAATATAGTAAAACATCATATAATTGGGGCCTCATATTGCTCATTTTTATTTTTCAAGAAGCGTTCTGTAGGCAGCCATAAACCGTAAGCCTAGGTTTCAAAAACCGTCGGGATAGATTTTCTTGACAGAAGTGTGGCGTTCAATGTCCGTTGGCATAAGCTTTTACAATTGACCAACTGTCCATTCACTGACCAATGGACAGTTGGTCACCGGCCATCCACTGATAAAATCTCTGCCAATGGTTTTTGAAACCTAGGCGGATGGTTTATGACCATCAATAAAGTTATTCTTTAACGAATAAAATTTTAAAAATAAGCAGCATGAAACCCTATTATTTTTTGTGCTACAAGTTGTCTCAACTTTTGTGCCATATACTCATTTTTCATTCTAAAATGAATGAGGCCTATGAAAAGAATTTTATAACCAAATGCTTTCATGTAATTCATTCTTGCCCGGCAGCAAACCAAAATAGGCCTGGCCTAAGGTAACATTTGGTTAGACAGAAATTAAGAGAAAAACAGCCTACGGAGATTTCCATTTGCCTCCATTTTGATGGGGAGCAATTTATGGAATTTAACCATCATAGTTTGATCAAATAAACAAAACAAGCATCATATTTGTAACTATGAAGTTTCCTTTGACATTCCATAACCATTTTACAGCATGTTTGATATCATTAAACATTAAGCCCAGTAAATAAATACATCAGTGAACATATGACCAATTATTAGAAACATTTAAGCATCGAAAAAACCTACTATCATTGATTTACACTTCAATACATTACCAACAGAAATCAGCAAAATTATCTTTTTAGCAAGAGAACATATTCCTCTGAGCTTACTCCAAGAAGAAACACTCCAGAAATTTTCTTCTTTTCCTCCAAATCGTTTGATATTGCAAGAATGGTGACACCATGCCAGAAAGTCTCACTGTACTTGGCAGCAGGTGTTTCAACCACCTCACCAGAATCTTGATTGCCAAGCTCCTTAAATTCCAAAGCTTCAAGAGCAACTAACAGCCATCTATGCAAAAGACAGATAAATTGACTAATAAGTACAGGCAGAACATCCAAGAGAGAGAGGGAGGGAGTGCTTGACTTGTAACTACCGGAAGTAGAAATGTTTTCATAAAGCATTTTCTACTGCTCGACTGCCATTTTGTCATCCACAATTTGAGGAGGTCTCCATTTACGATTTAAGCTACTCCTTTCCAGGGCTTTCTGTGTCTTCAGTTTCTCATCAATCAGGCTCAGCAACTCCTGCAAGCCAACTCCCATAATGGCAGATGTTTCCACATGTTGAACATCTTGAGGTTGAGAATATGAATCTTTGCAAAACTTGTTCCAATCTTCTGAGGCCTTTTCTTGTGTCTCATTCAAAGTCTTGCATTCTTCTGTGAAATCACCTTGATTATCATCCATAACCTCTGGAATCTCCTCTGGAGACAACTCAGATGCAATACCATGGTTATCCTCACCAATAGGTTCAAAAGGTGACATCATATTAGATGCTACATAATCCTCTCCTGCATCTGAGACACTACCAGCTTCATCATCTTCACCTTCATCTAGAGACTTGTCAGTGCCAAGTTGACTTTCTTGGAGATCTATCTGAGAAGATTTTTCACATTTCAGTTGATATCATGTAGTTCCAAACCACCAGCAACAACACCACAACCAAATTCTATATCTAAGTTCCAATATTCTTCTTAAATCTTTCAAAGACATGTTAACCACCTCTTTGAAAAAGATAAAACGAAAGTGAAGATTGGCACCTTATTCCAAACTTCAATCATATTGTCAAGCTTCTCATCAGAGACTCCTATCTGCTGCAATACTTGCAGTACTGCAGACCGTTGCTCATCCAGATTGAGTGCACTAGAGTCTAGTACATGCTGCATCAGTTGCAACACGAAACCTTTAGATGCTTCCCCAAGTTTACTGTGGCCAACATGGCCTGAAATGAACTCAGTTTAAAAGCCAGCCCGAGCATAATGAAAAGATCATTGCAGCAAAAAGGATAAGTGAGCATATAATATAGAAGAAAAGTAGAACATCACTTCAAAGGATAAGTGAACATATACAATATAGAAGAAAAATAGAAGGAACTCTTTATTTTTTTTTTTTTGGTAGAAAATATAGAAGGAACTCATGCATGCATTCTTTGCCTTGCAAATGGGGAGAGTATCCACGTCTATTCTTCTCCTGCTTATGCTCATCTAAGATATGATCCCATGTATTCCTTCTTTTGGACTGGTCTGGCCTAACCCTCTAATATTATGGAAATTCTCAGCAATCAAATCCTTTGGAAGTGCTTTAGAGCATCAGTGCTTTGGAGCATTTGGGGGTGACCCCCTTGAGAACAGCATAGTAAAAAATGTGCACTGGGTGTTGAGTGGTAAAGAGGTCAAAGGACCGTCCTTTGATGATGTATAGAGGGGCTGGGATATGGTAGCAAGGACCTCAAACAGACAAAGAAAGCCAACAGTCAAGATCAAGTTGAATTTTGATGCGGTAGTCTTGGCAACCTGGGAACATCAGGCATAAGGGAACAGAAACCAACAAGATTTAACCAAAATGAGTTTCTCGGGCCCTTTAGGGATAGTGCATTCCCCAAGGGCAGAGATTTATGCTCTAATTCAAGGACTAAAGTTGGCTTTCTCCTTGAGATGCACTAACTAGATTGTGAAAGGGGATTGCAAAGTGATTATCAGCTGAATGGAGAATGAGGCAGAAGGCCCCTGGTTGCTAAGGCAGAAAACAAGGAAAGCTAAAAGTCCTGCATCAAACCTAAACTGCTCATTCAGATGGATACCAAGAGCAGCTAATAAATTAGCTGATAGGCTTGCAAGGATGGGGTTTAAAAGGATAGCCTTGTATGGGGATCACCTGGTCCAGGGACTGATACAACTTCGTAATTTTCCCATTTTGTTTTCTGTTTTTGTCAGCCTATGCCGCTATCCCTGTACTGTATTTTCTATATCTTTTCAATATGAAAGGAGTTATGTTTCTTTAATGAATAGAATTGATTGTTTACTGAAAAAAAAAATGCTTATCTACTTTAGAAGAAGAAGAATCATGATGGCAATGATAATAGTAATAATAGGCCATCACCCAATGTTGGTCTCAGCTATCTGAGGTCTTGGGAGGGGTAGACTGGATGTGGTCCTAACCTTTACCATTTTTTGCACAAAGTGGCTGCTCTCAGACTTGAAGTCAATCCCTCTCATGGTCTCTCTCTGGTTTCTTCAATCACAGTCTCTGTTCCCCCCACCAACCAGTCAACTCTTCTTCATTTTAGTTTTTAAAATATAATTTCAGTTTCTTATTATTAAACAGTGGGCCATTGCCCAGGTCATACAGTTAAGTGGTTAGACCATCTGGGTCAATGGTCTGTTGACCGATTGAACAGTTTTTTATAAAATAACAGGCCAGGTAGTAAACGGAACCAAAATGGTAACCAGTTTCTAGTCCGAACAGTTTAACTGCCCTGGTCAACAGAGTTTTGAAATCATTGCTTGAACCTGCATCCTCACACTTGCCAGCCCCAGATTTTACCATTACACCAAGTAATGGCCCAACAAAAACAAAAATAATAATAATTATAATAATAATAATAATAATAATTTTTTGTTTCAGAGGAAAAGTTTATCCAAAGTCCAAATACCCCTTTAGTTTTATTTTTCTCTTTTTCCAATTATATGGCTGTGGCAACAGAATATCCCTGCTACTTTGAGGCAGGCATGTGTATGCATTCTTATCTGACTTGTGAGAAATTTATTCCAGAGAAACATTTTATAGAATCTAGAGATTTTGAAGGTAATCACTTATGGGGTGACTACCCAAAGGTTTTGTTAAAAACTTTTTTGTAGCTGGAGAGAGAGAGAGAGAGAGAGAGAGATTTCTTAGGCAATCTGAAATGGGTTATGTTCCATAGAAAATAAGGTACTTAATCAACAGATATCTATCCAATGAATTAGATATGCATTTCAACAGGTATTGTCCTCAATTTCAAAGAAAGAAGCTTAGTTCCAGCAGATTAAAAGGAGGGCAGGACAGTCATACCACAAGAAGGTCTGCTTCCACCACTTCTTCTAAGGTTGCATGAAACGCTTCCACTAACTGTAACGTAAAATGCATCGATTTGGAGGAATGGTCAGGCTACAAAAAATTAACAAACTGTAGTAAGTTGTGCAATACTCTCACTTCATAATTACCTGAACGGGTAAATCTGAAATAAACCCTACTGTATCACTAAGAAGCACTTTCCTCCTGCAGAATGGGCAGTCAATAGCTCAATTAAACAAATTTCATATATATATCAGAAAGTATAGATGGAAAAAAATCTTATTATTGATCATACCCTGAAGGAAGAACTATACTTCTTAATCGAGGATCCACTGTTGCAAACAATCTGCACAAATTAAAATTGCATGCTGATATGCAACATCCACACAAATAAAAAACAGCAGCATAGATGGAATATTAAAGAATATAAACATTAAAATTGCAGGGGAAATAGTATTTAGAGGTAGACCTGTCATCACTGTATAGATCACTATCTGAAAGTGCATTGACTAAAGTAGATTTCCCCTGTCAGAAGACACCATCCAGTTAGAAAAGAGTTCAGATCGGTGCCCCACACATGCCTCACATGCACATCTCAGCATGCATTGGGAACATCTCCCGTACTTGTCATCGGGAGATGTTTCCAATGCATGGTTGGGATGTTCTGTGGGGAGCCAATGAGAATTCATTAGAAAAGCCAAAAAGGTGTGATAACGATAACATATAAGCCCAGAGAGATCATCTGCATGATTGTATAAACAAAGGAGAAAAAAGAGAAAAAACAGAGACCAATACACAAAAAAAAGATACAACTAATATAGAACCACATACAGCATTTGTGTACCCAACAACAGCAACAGTTGCTAACCCTTGACCTTGTGAGCCACCACGCCTCTTGCGAGAAGCACGTTGCAGTGCCCGGGTCCGACGAACCTCTTCAATTTGGGATAGTAAATGATTCCGCCTCTCTAATATTCTGAGGAGTGAGGAGTAGAGTCCAATATACATTAGAATAAGCATAATATTCAACAGAGTGAAGAAAACATGTATCTTTACTATATAATGCTGCTACTTGCCTTGGCTTCACCAGACCACCATGCCAAAAACCTAATCCATTTATTTTCCTCTCTCTCTCCATTTATTTTCCTCTTTCCACACTCATCACTCTCCCCCTCTTATTTTACACATACCAATGCCACTCAACTAGTGTATATATAAGAAGGGGCTAAATAAACTTTAATCCAAAATAAAAACATATGTAGTTTGGTGTGTGTCCCACTCTAATGTCAAAATCTTGTTGTTTATGAATTCAATTTAGAAAGTTAGCTCATATCCTTTAATAACAAATCAATTCTAATTTAGTTTCCTAAATTCAAAAAAACAATACGAAGGTGGATAGTGGATCCCATTCTTCAAGATTATGTGGGTTGTTTAATTGTAAAACCTAATTTGAACTCCTAAATAAAATACAAAACTCCAGCATAATTGCTTCTAGACTTACCAACATGGATAATGGGTCCCACAAAAAAATGCATACATATAGTTTTCTATACTCAGTACATGGTCATTTACTTGTAATCATCAAACATAACACCTAATGGAAACATCAAATCATGGCCTCTCCATGCTTGGGCGGGGTGAACCCAAGCATGGTTCAAGTTATATCTTTCATAAAGTCCTGAGTTGATGTTGACCCAATCCCTCATCTAACATGAGTAAATTTTGAGCTTCCAAGCCTTTAATGGTAAAATCCCGGGCTGACAAGTGTGAGAATGCGAGTTTGTTTCTGGGAGTGGCCACTTTGTGCACAAATAAAATGACAAAGTCCAGTCCAGCCCTCCTCCCAAGATCATAGATAACTGAGGCCAATATTTGGTAATGGCCTTTTTATATGACTATACAGTCTAGAAGTTCACTCGCAAAATGATGGAAAAGAACCTGAACCTTTAAACCACCTTGACAACAGTAAATTCATTAAAATAAAATGGATAAGATATTAAAGCTTCTAGTATAATTGCTTGAACAGAACTATGGACCACACCTTCGCCGTTGAAGTTGGAGTTCAGTCTCTCCAGCACCACTAGTAAAACCACGTCCCCCACTTCCTCTCCTGCATTGGATCAAATAAATTAGAATAAAGTTTTGATGAATCCAAGTCCAACTCAGTAAATGCAACACAACCACTTTTGGCTATGCATCCCTAGAACAAGCCATCCCACAGGGATATTTTTCAAGATTTCCAAAGATGAAATTGCTGATAGGCAGGGAAAGAACCAAAACACTAAATTAAAAAAAAAAATACAGTGCAAAATTCTAACCTCACATGAACATAGTGTAGACAACTGGTTTTGCATACCCAATTAGAGAAATGTACAAGCCACATAGTGTTTCATTTTTATTATCTCAAACAAAGTCTTATCAATTGGAATATAGCGTGCCTCTAACTTTCTTTTGTTTACAGATGCTACAAATTCTAAAATTGTTCTACAAAACTTCTAAACCCACCCTCGGGCACTGACAACTTCAGCTTCTCCAGATGCTCCAAAAGTTAGACGTCCATTGGGGCCACGGACACGAACAAGCCTAGTCCTCTTGTACATTAGAGCTGCTAATTCTGACTGTCAAGTGAAAGAACGATATAAGTCAATGAGATATAGAAGCAATTCATAACATAATAATGCCTATGTCAAAGCATGAACCATTCCAAATGAATTTCCAAGTGTAAAGTCACTAACAATACCTGTAGCTTTGCTTCCTTTGTCTGGGCATGAGCATTGAATATCTCTATTATAAGGCCCACACGATCCAAAACAGGTTTCCCCCAAGCCCGCTGCCATTTGAGTTGGATATATGAAAAGTAACACCATGATCAGTGTCCTCCAGAAAGATATAAGTATAAATATTCAGCTTTTAATTTCAAATGGACAACTAAGTACAAAAATATAGGTTACTTAAACAAGTACAACTTACCTCCAAATTTCGTTGTTGAATCCCTGAAAGAATTGTGTTCACAAAAACTGCATCCAACTCATCCTGTCAACAAAATGAAACTATAACATTATGGTTGCTAAGCAGTACACACAAGCCACCAAAATCTTGGAGTTATCGAAAACCAGAAGTATTTCAGATACTAGAGTGTCAGCATTTAGGACAAATATGAATAATACAAGATGCAGAATTTATGTGGATCAAGAAAAAGACAAAGCAACCCATCTGATAAAATTTTAAATTGAAAAAATAAACAATCTGATTAAATGATTATGAATGTTATATGATAATTACAACACAGAGCAGAACAGTAGAATAACTACATAAAACACAAATAAATGACGGAAAATAATCCTCGCTTGCCTCTGACTCGATGGCATTTAGATGACATTTCACAGTGTCCACGGTCCCTGGTCCAAAATATGTGTCTAAAAAAACAATCAAACGGAACCAGTCAATTCAAAATTCATAGGCCTCAACAAGATCGGTTAATAAAATGTAGACCAAGTATATCAGTAATACAGAAAAAAAAAATTACTCAAAGCAGAACACCTCACCAGCAAATTTCACATTCCAACATAGTTTTTTCTTCTTTTTTTTAATGTTCGGCACATTCCAACATGGTTGCTAAAAGAAAAGGTTGGTCAACATGCTTCTCCAAGTTCAAACTATAAAAAAGTGAATCTACTAATCCAGACCAGATACATTCATTCTAAAGGAAAAGCCATAGGCCGGAAGTTCAATGAAACATAATTTCGAAATAAGAAACTAAAAAACGAACTTAAAACATCAAATTTATAACGAGTGCATTGAGATGCACTAAGTTGAAACCTAAACAATTCACCAAAAATTGAGTAACAATGAACCACGTTAAAAGAAAATAAAACACCGGTTATTACCGAGATTCCAGCAACCAACCTGCTTGCGCCTTAGACGATCTGACAGCGGGATTCTGAACAACAAGATGCGGCGGCAAATCCCTTTTCCCAAATTCACCGAGGTATCCATCTCGCTGCTCTTCCAGGGAATTGGCGAGGTTCAGAGCTTCAGATAGCTTAGCCTGTAAAAGCGTATCGGGCCGCAGGCGAGGTTGAACGACGACCAGCTTGGGAGGGCTTTTTGGGTCTCTATTGTACACGAAATCATCATCGTGTTCATCTTCATTTCTCTGCCGCGACGAATGCGAGAATGGCGAAATAAGGAGAATGGGAATTGATGGATACGAAGGAATTGGGGACGTCGGGCAGACAGTAACCTTGTAGGAGATTGGACTGGGCTTCGAGCACAGCGAATGATGGGATAACGAGACAAGGGTCTGGGAGAGAGAGGTGACTGGAGCACGCAAGAGAGAGATGGTTCTGAACATATTGCAGGCCCCGTCTCACAACTTCAGAACTTCTCTTCTTGTTTGTTTCGCTCCGTTCTGTGTAATCAAAGGGCACCGTTCTGAATTAAATTCCGTGAAAGAGAAAACGAAAACGAAAGCCAACATCGATCGCGCAGTAGGAAAGGTAGCTAGGGTTCAGCCATTTGACTGTGATTCTGAGCCATGAGTGGCAATCGGTAGTGACCACGAAGTTATTGCCCACTGGTTTCTTTCGTCTTTTGCTTTTAAAATAACAAACTGCCACCCTGTACTTTGGGGTGGTAACCACTCAACCCCAAACTTTCATTTGTCAGAGTCAGAGACCCATCCTAATTTTTTTTTTTCATACAAACTCATCCTAAATTATAAGATTCTAGATAGGACTTGGTTCCCATTGTTAGACTTAACTAATTGTATTTAAGTTCAGTTTGGAAAGAGCTCTACATATTTGTATTTTTATTTCTTCCAAACTGAGCCTAAACATTTCTAAAACGGTTAATTGCCCTTCTATCATTTTTTAGATAAAATTGCCCTATCATTGAGTCCAACTATGGTGCATTTGGATTTTAGAATATTTATTGCACATTTACATCAAAGTTTTTAGGGGCATTCTATAATGTGAATTGTTTTTTGCTTTATCTTATTCTCAATTTCAAATATAAATTAAAAATCAATCCAGTTTGAAAACAAATTATTTCTCAAAAAAAACACAAAAAATTTCTTGGTTGTATATGTATTTTTTATTTTCAAAACTTAAACCAAAAATATGTTCTTGAATTTCTAATTTCAAAAACATATTTTCATCTGGTTATTAATATTATATTCATAACAATTTCCATACTAGAAAATTTGTTTTTTTTTTTTTGTTTTAAAAATCATTATTTTGGTGGTTCAAGAGACATGTATTATTTTTTGAAACAAAACCCACACCTTTTTTCCTTCAAAAACAGAAAAAAAAAAATAGAATTCAAGAACATGTTCTTGTTTTCTTTTTTTATTTTGTCGATGTGAGATTCCAAAAATACATGAAAACAAAAACATTCATGTTGTAAAATGCCCCTTTAATTAATCAAATTAAAGATGTGGTATGATCTATTTAGTTTTCATTGATTCAGGTTTTTCTTCACAATACAACTCCTGCACCATAGATTTTGCCTAAACATAATATCTAAATAGTGGGATCCTCCCTGCAACTCAATTGAATGCACATAATTACCTCAACCTTACAACGCCTAAATCATCGTCGTCGTCATCATCATCATCATCCATGTGACCATGTCTTATCCCAATTATATATAATTGGGTGTCCACATAAATCCTGTTTTACCAATCAATTATATTTAAAGCCATATCTAATATTAAACTATTGATACTTAAATCATTTCTAATTATTTCTATTCATATCCTTTTTGATATACTCAGATATCTTATAGCCCCTTTTATATATAACAAATCAATTCTAACTATAATTGGTGCTCTTCTATACACATACCCCTTCAATCCTATTGTTTAAACATTGCACTAGATAGTGTTCAGGACTACCAAATGCGTTGGGTTTGACTCCATCAATGGTCATATTAGAGATTCCATTTACAAAAAAAACACATGTTTGGCAAGCGTTGGAAGTTGACGTGAATTTAGAACAACAGGGAGGGCACTAGGCACAAAGCCTATATCCTGATCCTCTTCATCAAAACAAAACATGGACAACATGTTTTACCTTTTTCCTTCTTATTCTTCTTCTTCCCTTTTTGAATTTCCTTAGGCAAATCGATATTTTGTGGTGGAAAACCGTTGGAATGGATTTTCTCCCTTGGTTTTTTTCTACCGAACACCTAGGCTGTATTTAGTTATATTTCCCTTTCTTTTCTTTCAAACCAAACACAGCCCACATTTTGGATTGAGAAAACATGAAGAACCATCAAGTACACAAAATACTTAAAAAAGAGAACTTGGGAAATAAAAGCCAAGAGTAATGCTTCCTATATTCATACATGGAGAATCATACTGGCACGCAGATATCTCCTCAGAAAGGGTATTTGCCAGATTATAAGCAATGGAGAAAAGATCTATGTTAATTCTGACCCCTGGTTTCCCTCACATTGTGATTATGGCTCAGCAAAGTGCAAAAGAAAATTATGGAAGCTAGCAATGGATCAAGAAAGGGTATGGGATGCTTTTGATCCAGTGGCTGCATAGACAGTGTTTAGTAGTCCACTATAGAACCCTCAATCTAATGAGAAACCAAATTGTATTTGAGAAGGTGGAATCAAATCCAAATGACCATTGGGACCCAACCAAATGGTTGTAACTATTCTGATTCTAATTCCATATCCTAATTCTTATGAACCAAATAGACCCTAAGTAGAAAAGAAGGCGTATGGAGTGAGAAGACTATTTTGGCCAAGCCTAAATCTACTGCTTGGGTGAAGAGTTCAAAATTAATATAGATGGTGCCATCTCTAATGAGTGTGCTAAGATTAGAGTTGTTGCCAACTTTTTATAAACTCAAATAGATCATCTTAAACCCCTGTTTGTGGCTCCTTGTTCATATGTGGACATTATTACTCTAGCCTTAAGAGAAGGAACTTGGTTGGGTCTTTGAGTGCGGAAAGATCTGCATTGAATTATGTTATATATTATTTATACATTATATTTATATAATATTATACATATATATATAGAGGGTTAAATACTTAAACTACTCTTATGATTTAGCGAATGGATACAAACCTGTCATACTGTTTAAGAAATTACTTGAAGTACCCCAGACATTTCTGATAATGAACAACAATTAGGAACCCGTAATGAAAAAATTGAAAAGACTATTTTACCCTTGATTTTTCTTCAAAATTTCAAAATGTAACATTTCTTCTCTGCCCTAATCTACCCTAAGAACTGTAATTTGCTCCGCACTCTTTCACCATCATTGTCATTGTTGGGGCTGATCAGAAAGTAGAGGGTGGGGGCTGGTGGAGGTGAGGGAAGTGATTGGAGAAACGTACACAACCTTCTATTATCTCGAACCCTTTGGGAATGCAGCTATCCCTTCTTTCATATTGGGGATTGTTTGTCATTTTGTCTCTGTCGATTTGTAACCATGTAGGTATTTGTAAAAACCCTAACTGGGAAGACCATTAGTCTTTTAGGTTGTGTTTGGAAACGATGCAAATAAGTGTGAATGCAAATATGTGGAGTGTAAAATGGTCCATATAAATTGTAAAGTTGGGTTAGTTTTGCACTAATAAATTTACTTCTTAGTAAACAAATATTTAGCTACAATGGATGCAAACACGAATTCCAATAAAGCATATGATTTTTTTTTTTATCAAAAGCCCACTTGAATGCAAATTTATTTCTTTTTATTGATGTACTTTTACATCTTATTATCAATGTAAATATGTATTGGTCTGTCATTTGTCAATGCATAAATGTAATATTGCCAAACATAGGCAAAAGTGAAGCAGAATGCAAATTTACCCTGAACCGGGATTTACACTCTATTTGCATCGTTTCCAAACACAGCTTTAAGAACTTGTGGATTTTGTAATTGGAAAGTTGGTTATTAGATAAGAGTGCATTTTCTGGAATTTGTTTAGAATTGATGTCCACTTCTTATGTACTTGATGCCAGATTTGATGGTTTAATTACAAGACTTTAATCATTTATATGGACCACAAAAATTGGGAATGCAGATGTTCAATGGTGGGTAAGTAAATCATGGGTTATTGAAATCGGCGATTTAGTTGTTGAATCAGGAATCTGAGACATTAAAGTTATGTTTGGTTCAAAGGAAAAGGTAAGAAAACCTATACAAGGTTTATAAAGATTTCCCTATATTTCCTTTCCTTTCCTTATATTTTCCTTCAAACCAAAAACAACCTAAAAAAGTTGTGGGTGGGTTGCAATTGGGTGATGGTATAGGATGGTCTTCATTGGGCATTCGTTAGGTTCCGGCGTCACTGTGCTATTGACGGTGGTGGTGGTCAACCGCAAACCCATCACCTTCATCTTTGTTATTTTTTAAGAACATTATTATCACTCCTTTAAATGATATAGGCACTGCTCAGCAGCAAAGCTACCAAGAAGTTGATATGACTGCTCTAAGCCATCCATTGCGATGCAAAAATTATCAGGACATGCAAGCTAACTCTAACTGAGGTATATAAAACCCAAAACTGCAGAAATCTCCTGCTCGAATTGATGAAAAGGCCTAAAGTTCATCTTCTAAAGCTTACACAAACGTAGGGGATATATACTTTAACGGCACACTAACGTAGGGGAGGATTTTGTCCATTGTCTGAAATATTCGGAATACTTTAAGAAATTTCCCAAACATTAGTATATATTTGTGTCAATTTACTAAACCACTAGGGAGGGGCCCTGCATTGCAGGGGCAAAACATGATGATAAGTAGTTTGTTAAAGGTAATTTATTATATAGGAAAAAAAATTGTGAAAGTTAAATTTTTTAATTAAAATTTTATTGGAAAAAATATCTATTTAAAATAAATAAAAATTTTATGGATAACAATATATTTAATTTAATAAAATAAATAAATAAATAATCACAGCCACTAGGCAATAGAGCAAAAGAGGGAGAGATGACTTTTGTCATTGTATTTTTGTTTTAAAAAAGCAGGGCTTAGCCTGGTTTGTGGCATGACACGAGCTTCTGCAAGCTCAAATTGTATATTATATATAATAATTATATAATATATTAATATATAATATTATTTTCAATTTTATTATATTATTTCATTTTATTATTGCATATATAAACAATTGTACACATCAAAATTCATGTAAAGTAAATTTTAAGATCATTTCTTTTTTAGTTTATGTTAAAATTTTCATTATTTTTTTTTCAAAATTTTCAAAAACATGGCTTAGCCCGGTTTGTGGCCCGATCTAGCCCGTGGCACAGCATGGGCCCGCACGAGCCTAGGCTATATATTATATACAATAATTATATAATATATAATTTTATTATATTGTTTCATTTTATTATTGCATATATAAACAATTGTATACATCAAAATTCATATAAAACAAAATTTGAAGATCTTTATTTAATTTTTTATCTATTTTTTAATTTATACTAACTTTTTCATTTTCTTCAAATTTTTAAAATACATGGATTAGCTCGGTTCATGGCTCGGCCTGGCCTAAGACTTGGCGCACAGACCGGCCTAGCTCGTGGCACGACACAGGCCTACACGAGCTCAGGCCGAGGGCTGTATCCAGCCGACCCCCTAACCTAAAGTATCCTAGGGAGGGAA